TTTCCCGTGCACAATAGCAAATATGATATTATATTATATATTGATATATATAACAGTTAAATGAACATTGTGAGTTACATTTTATTAACAATATTGTCAATATTGTTTGTTTTCCCTTTATTTCGCAGACAAGAATTTCAAAATGAAACCGTGTCTCAATGCAACAGACCGATTATTTTTTTGACTGAAATCCGCGTTTTGAACGAATCATTTTAACAATCACTTGCTCTTCCTGAACAAAAAACACTACTCTGTCGGCTGCCATGGCACTGCTCCCTCCGCCGAGAAGTGTGCCATGAAGACATCCCTCACCCGGAGTGCCTCTCTGGAGGAGTTATTTGCAGCAACCCGACCCAGACCTGGCAGTGGCTCCTCTCCCCTCCGAATACCTCATGAAGTTGTGTAGAACACACGTCGCCTTCACACACTTCTCCGCAACTTCAGGGTGGACCTCGATGAGGCGGCGGTACATCCTCCACTGAGGAGAGGATGCCAAAGGCGCACACTTCTCCACTCTCTATGCGTCCAGGGAAGGGCCGCATGAGGTTCCTCCGCAGCGGGAACGCCTCATCAGCCTCAAAGACATGGGGCTGGGGTCTTCTTTCATCAGCACCGGGTAGAGGCTGGTCAGGAGGCGGGTGAAGTGTATCAGCACAGAGAGCCTGTCCAAAGGCGGAGTTCGCCAGAATCCCACCGTCGCTGGTCCTGCTTTACCCCCCACCATCAATCGGGCGAAATGAGCAGCAGTCACTAGCAGTGCAGCACCCGTAGCTACAGTTTAGAGGAGTGCACGTTCAATATCGTAACGAATAGAAATAACCTTAAATAATGTATGGTTATCTGCATCTTTCCGTCTCTTATGCATAGTTACTTTTTAAACACAAAAATCGCATTCAGCATGACACGCAAGCGGTTGCCATGGTAACTTAATGAACAACCTGCTTGTTAAAGCGAATGTATAATCCTGTATCTGAGGCAAAATTACTAAATATGCAGCGCGAGTTATATATTTCTAGCTCCAAACAATTGGCCACTGAACCAGCTGATAAAATCTTCAAGGCTGTGCTGGTTGCATTTGAGGTACAGGTCATGGGGTTTCTCAGATTTCGCTTGAGACCGGTAAGCATTAGGTTCAGGTTAAAGTTCTTTATAACATTCAACACTGAATAGGAGCATAGGAAGACAATCTGAGCTAGCACAGAACAGATGGCTCGCCTATTTTTTTTATTTTATTACTTCACATCTAAATAATTGACAGTTTCCAATTTATCAAACATTTGTTCTTATGCTTCACTTCCTTCGTATTTTTCAAGTATTTTTTTTTATACATTTTATTGAATTGAACAATCGTGTTACATGATTTTTGAACCATGTCCAAAGAGTTCCATAAACTAATCCCAATTACAAGAAACCCCTTTTGTTTTTGTGAGGTGCGTGAAAAAAGGTACACAAAAATTGCCTTTTCTTCTGTTGTTTCCGTCTGTGATTAGCATGAATTTGTTTTTAATATGTACGGGCACCAAATTATTTTTCACTCTCCACATAATTTGTAGTATTTTGAATTTGACCAACTTTTTAAATTTCAAAGTCTGCAGTTTTATAAACACTTTATTTGTGTGGTTTCGTAAACCTTGGTTAGACCTAGGTTTAGCCTCGATAGTAGTCTTGTCTCCCTCATTGCGTATTTTAATAATTTGAATATATCCCTCCACTGCATACTGTAACCCCTTTTGCCTCGATCTGGAGGATATTGCGGATGTATTGCTCCAAAAAAGGTCACTGACACACATGGGTATACCTCTTCCCGTCATGGTAATCTGTCGCGCTGGTCGTGTTTGACCATTTGTTTGTCGGGCGTAGCAACAGTAACTAATGGGGTGGGGCTCGGCGAAAGGCTAATGGGCTATATGCACGCATAACTTCCGCGTTTGATGCAAGGATGCTCTTGCTTTTCCGGTTGGGGAGATTTAAAGCGGAGGAAAATCAAGGAAAACGGGATTATGGCAGAGTCTTCAAAATTTACTGTCCTCTCGTCTTTGAAACGAAACTTTAATACGTTTAGATGTCATTTTATATATAGTTATGTTTATTTAATATAATAAACAAAGAAGCATAAACAAAATGAGGGGTGTCTGTTTTGTCTGTTTTTGTGACTAACGTTTCTTTAGTATAGCAATAGAGTATAAAAAACCTATATAAATTCTCGGTATAGCATTGGACTCTACGATCGGCGGAAGTAATCCAGCATCCTTAGACCTTCATCGGAAATACCGCCGTGCATAGAGCCCATTGTGACAATCATGGCTGTAAATGTCACAATCAGCTGCAGGGTCATTATTTAGTAGAACGAAATACACTATGCTTCTTTCTTTCATTCACTCTGATAAACAGTAAATTTTTGCCTAGGATTAATAAATATAATCATAGATATATCATTTAAAGCAATTACAACAAGTTTAAAACAAACAATTTTTAAACATATAAAATTAAAGTCAAAAGATCGTACATTTAAAGGTAAATTATTCCAGTCTGCAGGAGCCTTAAACCTAAATGCCTTCTTCCCACAAACTTTGTTAAATACAATCTCAACAAATTCTTTACATGCTTTTTTTCTTACACCTTTAGTTAAGTACTTCAAATCTTGTTTGAAGATGTCAAAGCGGGGTTTAATCTTTGTATATTTACATTTATAGACATAAAACTTTCCAATAAACAAAAGGAGGTTAACCCTCTGGGGACCAAGGGGTTTTGGGGCCCTTGGGATGTTTTGACATGCACTGACATTTGTTCTTTTTTCAGTTATTTATAAACATGTTAATGGCAAAGGTGTAAATTCACTCTATATAGCACAAACGGGGCTATCATAATATGTGAGCAACATGTATGTACATGTTTGTATTTTTTAGAGAGTATCATTTGTTCATGGTTATTGAAAAACTTACAAATAAAAGTTTCTGAAATAAGGCCACAAAACACATATTGATTATTTCTTCACAAGACTTTTGAAAATTGTATCACATAGTCTAGAATATTTGCTCCAAAACTATGTGAAAATCATCCTGACTACTCATTCAGATAAGTCAATAAAGTCTTTTAGAATGTGCATGGTAAATGGTAAATGGACTGCATTTATATAGCGCTTTCACAGACCCAATGGCCACCAAAGCGCTTTACATTTGCCTCACATTCACCCATTCACACACTCATTCATACACCGACGGCGGTGTCTGCCATACAAGGCGCCATCCAGCTCGTCGGGTGCAGCTGGGGTTAGGTGTCTTGCTCATGGACACCTCGACACTTGGTCAGGTGGAACCGGGTATTGAACCACCAAGCATGACGTGTTTTGTGTCAGAAAGCTTTATGCGAGGAGGCGTGATCTCTCATTAATATGTATGGAATTTCACACCTGAGAAAGACAAAGCCCCTCCCATAATGGCCCTATTAGGTGCTATCAGGCCATATCATTATCAGGAGCCTTGCACAAAGAATGAGGAGATTTTAAAAAGAATGGCTTTTAGATTGTTTGGATTTATTTACAACACAACATAATCCAAAGATACACAACAAAGGACTGGTTTCTGGTTAAAATTGCTTTTTAATTATATATATTTACACACACACACACACACACACACACACACACACACACACACACACACACACACTGCTTAGAATAAGTGAACACACCCATGCTAAAGTTGACTAAAAAGAGGAATAAAAAATCTTAATGCCTTAATTTAAAAAATGAGGAAAACTCCAACCTTTAGGGACGTGAATAATGTCCTTGAATTCTTTGTGAATGAATAATGTATCGCAAATAATTAAATGTTCTTTAAAATACAGGGTGCATACGTCTGGACACTTCTATCACACACCCTTCACCATATAGACATGGTTTTATTTCAGTTCAAAGTTAGAGTTGGAAACATCTTGAAAAGAAAATAGTATTTTTCCATGAATGTCTTAGTTTGATCATACATATTTCAAAGTTGAGGATTCATTATTTTCATATAGCTTGCATTGGAACAAACATCTTAGTTGATTAGTTTATTGACAAAACATAAGCTTATTTCCCTTGTCAAAAAATCCTAAAGGATTCCAATAAGAAAATTGTACAGGATTCTAATTAGAATTTCTATCATATTTTGGAACCATTCCTATAGGATTTCCGATAGAAATTGTCTTATAGGACTATACATAAATATCCTATAGGATTCCGATAGAAATTGTCTTATAGGACTATACATAAATATCCTATAGGATTCCGATAGAAATTGTCTTATAGGACTATACATAAATATCCTATAGGATTCGGATAGAAATTGTCTTATAGCAGTATTCATAAATATCCTATAGGATTCCGATAGAAATTGTCTTATAGGACAATGCATAAATCTCCTGTAGGATTTTCTACAGTATTTTAATGGGATCTAATTGGGTCATTACTCAGGTAAGGAGTTTCCTTTTTTCTTTTCGAGCATTTTTAAGAATCCTATAGCTGCACTTTTCCAATGTTTTTCTTTTTACTAATAGTAGTTTTTTGATTTTGTCTTGCAGTTTGCTCACTCACCTCAATGTAGGCATTGTTCACTGTTTAATGTATGTTGTGCAACCTGCAGTCACATTATAAACAACATGGCAGGTGATTTGGGCACACAGTATTAGTGCACACACTGATAATGGATTGATGAAATAAAAAAACAAATCAATAAATGCATTTTCTGTTGTTTTAATTTCATAAGTATTTAATTTTTTTATTTCTACTTATGAACTATGAATTTATTACTTTTTTTACAGATTATATTCATTACAGACTTACACACACATACACTCAAACACACACACACACAACAATAACTGAAATACAACATTAAACATATCCTGAGCAAATCTGTCTGATTCCCACGAACTCACACGCGCGCACACACACTCACACAAAAACACACACACACACACACACCAACTGTGAAATACAACATTAACATCCTAAACAAATCAGTTTGATTCAAACAAACTCACACACAATCATTGTGGCGCCTTTTTGACATCTTGCATTCATCTGCGCATTTCTGGGAGATGGCCTTCTTAATTATACTTGCTTCAATATTAAATTTATTTTTGATGTAGCCTGTAAGGAAAGAAACAAACAGAACATAAGTTTACAAACCATAATGATTATTGAGTAATGGTATTGGGCATCTATGTTGACAATAGAACTCCTCAAGGGAAGCCTGTGCCTATATTCTTCTTCACTATTACATACTAGGGATTAGGGCTGAGAGAAAAAAATCGATTCACCTAGCTATCGCAGTTTTTTTTTACGATTCTAAAATCGATTTTTTTATTCCAGAATCGATATTAATTCAAATTCAATTGCTTTATTTTTGTCCTTGCTTGTAGATAAGGTTACTTTCGTTGCAACAGAGGATGAAATGTGTCGTTATCTGAGTGTTGAGTGACGTAATATCCCAAATGCACGATTCATCTTTAAAAGGCTGTGATCTCGATTCAAACACCCACGCGATCTTTCAATTCGTCTGTCTATTACTTTGACAAAATCATATCGCAACATTCAAAACTGTGTTGGCGCTGACCTGGAGAGAGTCGTCATGAAACAGCTTTTCACAAACACTCTTTTCAACATCATAGTATCATTATTTCTGTGATGCAATAGTTCAAATGATCATAGAAGTACTGGGATAAAAGTTTAAAGTTCAAATATGAACACTGATGTCTACGATAGCAATCAAAATCAGCTTTTGATAGAAACTTGGTGCTTAAAATAACGCATTTATCGATTACATTGTTTCGCCACTAAGTGACTGTTAAATGTTTTTATGACACATCCGGTATGACAAATTCGGTCCGGCAAGCTTTAAATGGTAGCATACCACCTCTGCTGAGGTTCCAAGTGTACCGTACGGATACTAAAATGTGACGTGAAAACACTACAGATCACTGATTGGTCAGAGGATTTACAACACGGGACACCAAACTGCTAGATTTAAATAGTCAGTAACAGCCACTGCAGTTTTATTTGTTCACACAATTTGTATTAAACGACTTGCTTGAATTTTTTTTAAAAAAAAGAATTACAGTTCGCACACATCTATTTTTAGTCGCATATGCGAGTGAAATGCTCGCACTGTTGCTCTAAAGCAGCCTTTCTCAAACTTTTTTCAGTCGGGGCACCTTTCAAAAGTGCATAAAATCTCAAGGCACCCCAGTGTAAAATATAAATTAAAAACACTGCATAACCTAAATGTAAATGCAAATGTCCTGTTTATTTAGACAGAACAGTAATGAACAGAGCATAATACGAACTGTAAATAACAATAACAATAATAATTAAAGCTGCAAGCAGCCTTACGGGGCCAAGCCTTCAATGGTTCCATGGGTTCAAAAAGTACTTAAAAATACTTTGCTTTCAAAACTTTAAAAGAAACTTTAATAACCAAAGTATTCTTACTCATTAACTTCTTACCTCACAAAAGAAATGAGATCATCCAGCTGCCGAGGTTCAGTAGTAAAAAAGAGAATGAACTCAAAATAAAGACTTTGCATATAAATGAAACACACGTTGTATTTAATAGGAAGAAAGAATAGTACAATGCGTTTCAGGATGATAAAGAAATTGAAATGACACAACTTTATAAAGTTGTAAGACAAAGGACTTGAACCCACAATCTCTGGGTCATATGCCTGTCACTCATTGAGCCCCTGGAAAGTCATGTGTTTCCATAGATGTAGAAGTTCCATAGTTCAAATGAGAATCAACTCAAAATGAAGATTTAGTATTTAAATGGACAGCATGTTACGTTTAATGAGTTTAGTTGATATTATTGTGATTCACTGTTAGGTGGTTGTCCTGCACCTTTAACAAATAAAGTTAGTCCAAGATGCAGTATATAGATCGATAAAATATTATTTTACAACATTAAGATTAACAGGTTCTTGTAAGAATCTTACAATTCTGGACTTTTGGTACTACTAAGAATATTGAACTGCACTAAAGGAGAGAATGTTTTGTTTTTGCATGTGGGTCCTAAAGTCTGGAGCAGGTTTCCTGATAATATTCACTATTCTGTCAAACATTCCTAGTTTAATTGTAGATTAAACACTTCTCTTTAAACAAGAATTCACGCAATGCATTTTATAATCTTGTAATTTTGTTATATTAGATCTAATACATATTTTTATGTTCTATTTTCAGTTTCTAAATTGTCATGGGCATATTAGATATTAGGTCATTAAGTTAATATTCAGAAAAAATACAAGTACTCCACAGCGACTCTAGGGGTCACTGTTTGACAAATGGAAATTTTGCATGGTGTGTCTTTGATGTAATACAACACTATTAACTAAAGCTTAAAACAATTATTGAACCTGGTCTTTAAACTGTAGAAGTTTGTCAGTTTATAAATCCATTAACACCATATACCTAGCCTCCCTTTGTTCTACTAATGGTCACAATTGTGACCTGACGAATAATCAAGTTTTTTGTATGGATTTTGATATATATTTTTGACGTAATTGTTAAAGATTGTTTAATATCCTTATGTATTCATACATGTTATCTCAGGGAAAAGAAATTGGAATTACATGGGTTAACTGCCATATGCAACTGTAACCTATATTTTTGCTACAAGTACATTACTTTGACAGTCATCTTTGATAATGTCTTGTACAATTAAGTTTTTTTTTTTATGCTGCCTAGAAACAATATTGTGAGAGGTGATAAAAATGTGAATTAAAAATAACGATTATTTTTAGTTTAAATACCATTTAGCACATTGGATAAAGTAAGCAAATTAGAGGGGGCCTTTGAAGTGATTTTAAAGCACCATTGTTGCATATTTAAATCTTTACAGAACAGAATACCAACCGTTTCTTTAGTTATTCACAATGACACTTATGGTTACACTACTTGCTTTTCCCAGTATGGTTTGTGAAACTAAACTTAGTGCCTAGTTAAGAATGGCTAGAAGAATGCACGCAACTTTCCAAATGCAAGATAAGCCCATGCAATAAAGGTCACATATTCCAAGAATTGACACACATTTGTTTTAATAAAAAAAAAACACATTAAACAACATTTAACAAAGCTTTGCCATAAAAATGAAATAAAAATCAATCAGTAGCATTTCAGAACATAATGGACAAAATTAACCTAATTTCAATAGAAAACATGACTTAAATCAATATTTGCCATTCATTAAAAAAAAAAAAAAACACCAATACCATCATTTCAATATATATACACACACACACACAACCATCTTAGTTGTGCATTTCAATACAAAGTCATTTTTGTATTATTTTTACAGCACTCTTCTTAGTCAAAGGTTTTTTAGCTGGTGTAATAGGAGGCGTTGTTGGCTCAGATGGTCTTTTAACTGGAGACTTGGGTTCTGGAGTGCTTTGTGTCTCTGTGACACAGAGGACAGGGTTGATTTCATCGATATTCACTTCAAATAAATCCTCATCACTGGGATGAGCGGATGAAGCGTTTTCAATATTGGTGACTTCCAAACAGTTATTATATGTTAAAGTCAGTTCATCGGAGGATAGAAAGAGTTCTTCTATATCTTGTGAATCACAAGTTGACAGTTCAAGTTCTGGTGCTATGAATTTGGACAAAGTTGAGTTCGAAACCGTAAGAGAAGTTATTTGACTGTCTTGATTTATCTCAATTATTCCATTGCATTTTGTTATATAGCTTTTTGTGTTCCGTAGAATTTTGCAAGTCGGGCAACGGTGAAATTGCTGTTTGATGTTGAATTGTTCTTGTGATTTGTGGCATTTTGGACATTGTTTTTTAATGTTTATTTGCACCCCTATTGGCTTTTGTTTCACCACTGTATTAGGTAGAGAGGGTTCTTTACTGATTTTAGGGCCTTGACCAGGTGGGAAAACTTGGTCCTGTGCAATAGGTTCCATGGTTGTTTTCAGGGTTGTTGTGAGGCTCTTAAGGCTGTTGTACAGTCTAGTTTTAAGATTGGTAAAGGTGTAGGAGTTACCTAGTTGCAGTTTTGAAACTTGGTTTTCCCAAAGAGTAAGTTGAATTTCTCCAGATGGATCTTGCAAGGAACATTCTTGGATCTCACAGTCTGTACCCCAGGCCTTTACAGTAGTTGCGTTGTTTAGCTTGCATACTGTTGCAGATATTTTAGTGATCTGAAAATTTAAAGAAAATCGTACATGTACAATCAAAAATATACATCAATAAACATGATTACAAGGGAAATGTATACAACTGCTGTTGTGGTCATAAGAAGAGGAAATAGCCAAACTTTTCCACACATTAACCAATTTGAAACGCATTAATCATGTTTGTAAAGCATCTAGCAAAGATAACTGAGAAGCAGAGTAATCTTTGCCTGTGCATCTGAAAAATCTTTCACATTTTAGCATTTTTTTGAACGTCAGGCTACTTTAAAATGTTTTTCTCCCCATAAAAACGATTTTGCACAATCTACAGAGGGCTAATATATGTGATTGTACTACTCTCCAGAGCATTACTACAACAAGTAAACAACCCTGTAGGCTATTTACACAGTGAGAAGGTTGAAAAAAAAACAGCTTACCAATTGTCGTGATCCCAGAGTTTTTGCTTCTTCTACAGTGAGTTTTTCTATCTCTTTTGGTGGTTTGTGGGGAAATGTAGATGTTGCGACTTCCACAGCAGTACTCCGATCACACTGAATGAAATATTCAGAATTATTGAGGCCTAAAGAATGAAAAAAGTGAGAATTGATATGGGCTTGTTTGTACAATGAATTTGAAAGGAATACGATTACTGAAAGTTTATCAGATAGAAAACAGGATTAAATAGCTAGACTACCACTTACTTGGCTTTTTTGTTATGTTTGACAGTTTAACCGCTGTCCGATTTAATGCTAATGTTGTCCAAGTTTGATGTTTTTCGTGCGCAAAGATGACAGCTTGGTGATATTCACTGCGACCTGTTTGCAAAGTTGCATTAAAAAACTTTGAGTTTGTTCTAGACAGTTGCACTCTGGAAACTGCATGAATGTAAACATAAATGCAGTTGTCAGATTCACTGGTCTCTGGTCTATTTAAATATTTGTTCATTTTTGCTGTTGCATGAAAAAAGAGGTTTGCAAG